AAGATTAGTTACTATTTTCCAATTCCTTGCAATTATAATTCTTGTCACTGTGAATAAAATAATCACCATTTTTTTCTTTTCCATTTCTAAATTCAACTTTGATGTCCATTAGTAATGCTAACCTAGAATCCGGAGTAATATTTAGTCCTATAATATTACCTATTTAGATAAAGTTTAGCCTTTCTTTGTAGGCATGTCTCACCATTCTCCTTTTTAGTTATCATATTTGCCTTTGATTTTAAAAAATGACCGGCATTGCATGCTCATAGTATTCCAGATATGGCCACATGCTACATTTATTCATGAAGTTGTATCACACTGAGGTCTTTTCATCTTTTTTCCTAATGATCTCTAACATCTAATGTGTTGTTTTCATTACTGAAGTATATTAAACTGACATCACTGTTCTGTCCAGTAGAACCCCAAAATCTCTGTTTAGGCACTTCTACTTTGGGCCCAGCAATGTACTGCTCCACTGAAGGTTGCTTTCCATTTTATTCCTCATCTGCCTGATTTGGAAGGATTCTTTCAGAGCTCTTCGTAGTCTGCCTGGTTTTTCATAATCCTAAATAATTTGGCATCATCCATAAACCTCAACTATTTCCTCACTCTTCATTCCAAAAGGTTACCCTCTTTACAAGATTTGTGTCCTATAAAGTATCTAGTGCAATAAATAGATTAGTAGTGTTTTTAAAAACTGTATAATGTGTTTACGCACTTTATTTAATTGTACAGGGTTAGTCAAAATGAATAGGCCAATAAGAAAATTAATTTTAGACGAATGTATGTTTACTGTAACCAAACTACAGCTACGTAGCGACAGATAAACTATCAAAGTTTTGTCTCACCTTCAGAGATGTTCGATATGGGCGCCCCGTGTGACACGGCAGATGTCCAAGCGATAGTCCAGTTCATTCCACATCCATTGCAGCACATCCGACGTAATGGCATCGAATGCAGCAACGTCTGGGAAGGTGTTCGTTGAGGTCCAACCCTAACCCTATCCCTAACCCTAACCCTACCACCCTAACCCTAACCCTAACCCTTGAAATTCTCGCTGGACCGTAATTACTGACATTGTTTTAGCAAATGTCATCACACAAAACGCCTTCTCTTTGCTTGATTCCGCCATTTTGAAACAGCGACCCCTAGCGACGCCTAGCGGCATTAACGTACATGTGTGTTGCTCAAAAAAAACTTTGATAGTTTATCTGTCGCTACGTAGCTGTGGTTTGGTTACAGTAAACATACATTCGTCTAAAATTAATTTTCTTATTGGCCTATTCATTTTGACTAACCCTGTATTATGTTTTTTTTCTTTTCTATAAAAATAAATAAATAGCAAAAAGTATATATTAAACTTATTAACTCTTTCCTAGGGTAGGTTCATAACTAAGTTTATTATTTGTAATGTTTTATTGTGTATTTCAGTTCCAGAAAGAATATCCACAGATCTACCAGGACAGATTTCCAACAACAGAAAGTGAAGCCATTTTGTTTGAAGACAAGCCCAAAATTAAGCAACCAATGCTCAGCCTACGAAAGCCAAAGTTTCGCACCTTGCGAAATTAGTGTATCGCTTTACATGAGCGATGACAAAAGTCAGTCTGCTAAACAATGTTTAAGTGAGCCAGTGTACACAAATGTGAATTTGTATGATAACAATAAGCGTTTTTTCCTGCCATATCTGGAAACAAGGATATCCCTGTTTACAAAATAATTCAAAACTGTAAATAGATATTTTGTTCGTTTGTATGACTTGTATGCTGATTGACTGAAATATAGTGAAGGTGACAATATATAACCAAAACAAAAAAGAACAATGCTGGTAAAAAAAATTACAATTTTGGTGCTCTGTCATGGTTTTAGATACTTTAATAGGCTGATATTTGTGTTCATTTTCAGTATGTACTGTTTATACACTTCAGTCAAAATGTAAGACAATCCCAAAAAGTTTTTATGTAGACAGCTGTGACTGTTTGTGTATGAATGTGTTTGTTTTGGTGTTATTTTGCATTTTGCACATGCTATACACTCACCCATATATGGTCTCCAAAGTATAAGATGTAGAGGAACCATGGAGGATGGCGACAATATCCCAAAAGATGAAGATCACAGAACTGACTGATGTTGCAAATCAAGCCTTTTATGAGAAGAAAACGTATTGCTTCAACAGCCATAAAAGAGCAATCCATTCATTGTTTATATGGTTGTCAATGAAAATATGTGGCACCTGTAATCTTTTCACATAACTGGGAATGTACAGCTAATGGCCACTTAGATGTACAATGACTTTGTCCTTTTTCTTTTAATTCAGATGAATGGGTTAGTTTCAGATTTAAATTTAAAATCAATCCAGCTGCTTGACAAGCATAGCAGAGCTTTCTTTTGTTTCTATCCACATGGCCTTGTAGTTGCCTGAAAGCTTGCTTTGGTATGGTTTCATAGTACTTCAGAACAATTTTTGGTTTGGTTTTTGTGAAGGTGCATGGTAGGGACCTACAGTAGATCTTCTCCTGCTGGATCCTATTCTACCCATGGAGGTTTAGCCTGAGTTTAAGTTATGGCAGTGGTTCTCAACCTGTGGGTCCCCAGATGTTTTGGCCTTCAACTCCCAGAAATCCTAACAGCTGGTAAACTGGCTGGGATTTCTCGGTGTTGTAGGCCAAAACATCTGGGGACCCACAGGTTGAGAACCACTGAGTTATGGCTAAGTGTATTCTGTAACGAAATTAAACATTTCATATATCTCTTGAAATGCATTTGTTCCAGGACATTTGTGTTCACATGTATTTGTCAATATTTAAGTTAATTTGATTTTGGAAATCTATGATAAGATTGTTCAATAAAAGCTGCTTTCAACTTGAAAGTGCAGACAGATAAATGTTTCAAAAACTGTGCATTGAAGTGTTAGAATCAAATTTTAGCTGACCTCAAGAGCTTGTACATATTATCTTGTTATTCAGCTTTTTAAGGTCTTTTATTTTCATACTATGAGATACTCTATATTTTCAGCACTGAACTCTCTACCCTCTAGTATTGAATCTGGAGAGCGGGGTGTCATCTGTCATTCACTAAATTTTTAAACCTAGTCCACCTGACAGCTCTCAAAACCACCAGCAACCAATGGTAGCTTTCATGTCATCAGGATAGCAAATCTCTCGTGGTTTTATTCTCAATATTGCCAAAGCTACCCATGGTGCTGGACCTTGGTGGAAATGGTCCAGCACCTTGGTACCTTCTCTAAAGTTCAGAATAAAATCCAGAGTAACTTTAGTACTTTACTGAAATGGAAGCCATTAGGCAATGTTTGTCACAGAAGCTACCGCACTGGCTCAAGAAGCACAGCAATGTTAATGTTCTAAGCCATATCCGTCCACTAAAGCAGGAGGTTAACCTACATGCACTGTAACATACTCTGTTGAAATCAGAATAGCCCTCCAATTAGAGTGCACAGTATTCACAGATTCAATTATCTTTACCTGTATGTTGATGCAACTATTCAACAGGTCTTCCCTAGTTGATAGACAATTTATAGAATTCAAGCCCAAGTACTCTGCCTAAGAAACATAATACAATCGAAAAAGAAATGAAATAGTCACTAGACAGTGCTAAGAATCGCATTCCTCTGTACTTCATTTACCTTCCTAATTGGGAGCATATAGGGAATTTCCCCTAGTCTAGGAGTAGAAATCACGCTTTTCTTGCAATATTGCTTAATTGTCATATCATAGGGATTACAAAGAATTAAGTTTGGTCTGATTCTTTTGAATGATACTTATTAAGAAGCTCTGTTTTGTAACATAAACACAATTATACTCATATTTGAGAGTGACAATCTGCTTTAACACGTGTTACATCTGTCAACTTGTTTTTACATCATTTGAGGCATTGTCCAATAAAGAGTTGTGTAAATCTTTTGTGCACTTCATAGAATCATAGAGTTGGAAGAGACCTTGTGGGCCATCCAGTCCAACCCCCTGCCAAGGAGCTTAGATAGAAAAGAGACACTGTATTTTATTGTCTCGCCAGGAGTAGGCAAAGTGTATCCCATGGGCTCCTCCAAAATGCACTCTTGGCTTTAGGAGGGCATTTCCACCTCATTTGGGGGCTCCACAAACTCCCAAGGCATCAAAAGCAATTTTGTAGAATTTTTCCAAAACAAATTTGTTCTTCAAATGTTTCTGAGAGGCATAGCAAACATTCCAACCAAATTTTGTGCTTCCCGCAGGCAAATTTAAGTGTAGGAGGAAACTTATTTTGAAAAAGTTAACCAAAAATTAGTTTTACTTGCTTCCTATTATTTAAAAAGACTCCCCAAAATCTAAAATATGGTGAAGATGGTCCCTAGAAGCTGTTTTGGGCAAAAACTTATTTAGGTTTAGGTTTTTTTTAGTTTGGTTTGTTAAAAACAGATGTGATGGAAAGGTGAAGCCCTTCAGAGTTTCTAGGGGGACTAATGTTCTGGACCAATGTATCTGATAAAATTGTTATTTTTATTGTTTTGTAATAGCCTCAGAAAAATATCTCTTGATTTTCAAAGGTGGGTGGATTTCTTTAATGCAACTTTTAAAGACTTGTCCTATAAAAGTCTACATAACTGAGATGAGATGAAATCCTGATAAATTAACAATTGCTTAAAGTATCTGCTGCAAACATCTCTGTTATCCATTGCAAAGAACAGCATGTCTATTGAGTGGATGCTGCTTTGGAAACCATTGCATGTTTTCTTGACTCTTGGAACTGACAGTATTCCTAGGGCCAATTCACCTAAACTGGACATTTGGATAAGGGGGCAAAGAGTTGTTGCCAAGGCATGAGCACGTTACAGGCTGTGTGACTACAGTCAGCTTTCTTTTCCCTTGTTTCCTTATAATCCACTTCTGCGTGGAGATTTAAGTCTAGAAAAACATTCAAAGACCTTTGAACAGCAGGACAAAAATCTCATAAAGCTTCAGGAGGATTTGAGTAGTGAAAGATACTTCTGTTTCCAAGGCCAAGCTAATTGGTTCATAGGTTTCCTTAAAGCCAGTGTTCTCGCCAGTAAAAGCCAACATTCATATAAATAGGCTGCAAACATCTCTGAGCGCTATATTCAGTGCTGAATTTGGGAAAGTTCAAGTCCTTTCTCCTGAAGAAAATGTCCAGCCAGTAAGTATCTTCTAAGATTTTCTCTGCATACAAATTAAATAAGCAAGGGTTATGGTTGCCATGTTTGTCGGGTGCAATGACGTGATGCCATTTATGTCCCTATTTCAATATTGCGAAAATGATCTACAGAAGGAAGATACTGAATATAAAAGCCAATAGGCAGTGCTGAAAGTTGGGCAATCTTAAACGAAATGAATTCCATTCTCCTTGCTTTTAAAAAACCTAAATCTATTACATAGAAGTGCATCAAATAAACCTTCTATGTAATGGACAGAAAACCACTTCAGGTGTTCTCAAAAGTTTTGGTGTTATTTGAGAGATGTAATTGTCTCCCCAGAATGGTACAGATCCATATTTGAATCTTCAGTCTTCAAAGGTACAGTGTTATGGAGCATAAAGAATTACTATCCCCCCCCCCCCCCCCCCGCTTCCCCCAAAAGTGATCATTGCTCAGTGAGCAAGCATAGTTGGATACTGGGCAGGATGACCAGGTTGCAATCATCTTTTGGATCAAAAAGAGGCGAGGAGAGTATGCAAGAAAATTCAATTTGGTTTGAGGACCAAGATTGCCATGTTTCTGGAGTATGATGATTGGCGCTTGTAAAAAGAATCATTTACACATTTGACAGACCACATTTGGCTGAAGAAATGTTATAAGATGCTAATTTCTGAAATATATTCAGTTCTCCCTTTTTTGGCTGCCTTCTGTTCTTGTAAGAAAGTCACACTGTTCCAGTGTTTCCCAACCATTGGTCTTCCAGGTGTTTTGGACTTCAGCCCCCACAATTCCTAACTGCTGGTAAGCTGACTGGGATTTCTGGGAGTTGGAGTCCAGATCAACTGGAGGACCAATGGTTGGGGACCAATTCTGTACTCAAGAGGATTGACTAGTCGTGGTTATCAAGATCATATGTTCTCCCCACAGTTACTTGGATTTCCATTAACTGAAGTTAAATGAATTCTAGCCCAACTAAAAGCTATGCTCTTTCCCTCAAAAACATAGGGAAATGTTCAGGGGAATACAGAGTTGCTCACACTTGGCTTTCTTAACACTTTTTCAGAGTTGAGCACCCAGCTGGTGGATACAAGAAACTCTTTGAGACCGTGGACGAATTGGCCACACCAATAACTACACATGTCACAGGTCTGTTTCTGTCCTTTTCTATGCCAGTAGAAAGACTATCATTACCGATATATCCTATAAAAATATTGAAGTTGTCCAGCTTTTATCACAATATTCTGGTTATCAGATTTTCACCTGAGCAAATTTGACAGCAAGTATCTTCAACAAATGAATCAAACTTCCAGATTTTCTCTGAGTTGCCTCTAATTTTATAGGCAATACCTTTTCAATGGTTAATGAACCAATTATTTAGTCAATTATCCATTTCCTTGTGAAATGAATGTTTTCCCCTAAGTGGAAGTGTATACATAACTTATACTTAACTGATGGGGGGGGGGGGTGACCACTCATACTTATGGACAAATTAATATCAAATTAGACATTTAAAAAAACCTTTCTTACTTACTTACTTACTGGTTTCTGTTTGTTATGTATGCCAAACCAAACATAAAATAAGCTATATTATTGTTCCCAGGTTAGTTTTTGCAATGGTCTTTTATCTTGAGCCGTTATGTGGTTAGATGCTATGTTTTGATGCAAGGGTTGATTTTGTATATAGCTCTTGATACATAGCATATTATCATTGTATATGGATAATTTTATTACTTGGATGTACTTGCTATTTTTAAATCAAAGTTTAGTTTAAAGGAGGAAAAATTATTATTATTATTATTATTATTATTATTATTATTATTATTATTAATACATCTTTATTTATGTCCCACTTTTCTTCCTCATGGGACCGAAAGCAGATAACACTTCTGCCAAAATGTATCTCCTAAGAGCTTCTAGAAATTGTGTGCGCAGGTGACCCATATGTGTGCATTTCATAAGGACCACATAGAAGAATAAACAGTTTAAAACAACAATATATATTCACATTTTTATTTTCCCTAGGTTTTTTTAATCTGGCTACAAGCCACCTTCAAGGATAAGAATGACTTTCAAGGTTCCTTTCAGGAATCCATATAAATGTAAATAATTATAAGATTAGACAACCATGAAAAAGAATCCACAATAATTATTTTTTTAAATCAGTCCAACGGAATATCCAATCCAGTAAAATGCTTCAGTGCAATAGTAGTTTATAAAAGCATCAATCACAATAAATTGGCAGAAATGTCACAGAGAACAAAAAAGTCTTTAGGAGTCTTCTAAAGCCCCCCCCCCCCCCCCGGATGAAGCCTGGAGTGTATCAAATGGGAATATAGGGTGCTATGAAAGAACAGTAATTTCTTGATTGTATATGGAGAACAAGAGTTGTTTGTGGGGTTTTTGCCCTAGATGCCACAAAAATTTGGCTGACTTGGTGTATTACATAACTTTATTTGGAGTGCCTCAGACAGCCAACTGAACTGGGTCACCCTGGTAAACTTCTACAAATGCGCTGACCAATTTAAAAGAAAGAAAGAGAGAGAGAGCACGTGTCATGTTTGAAAACCATTTAAAAGCACACAGCTCCAAGAGACTCAGGCTCTTAAGCATTTGACAACCCTGTTTTCTGTCATTGCAACAGGCAGGATTCCAGTCTGGCTTAGAGGCAGTCTGCTCCGATGTGGGCCTGGTTTATTTGAAGTTGGCTCAGAGCCATTTTATCACTTGTTTGATGGACAAGCCCTTCTTCACAAGTTTGAAATTAAAGAGGGGCATGTCACTTATTACAGGAGGTAAGTACATGCTTACTGAGTATCACCCACTGTTGCCAATACTATTTGGTGCAAGATTTCCACTTCAACAACTCAGCTAATGCTAACTTTCTGTTTACAACAAAAATTGCATGCAGTGTAAATGAGAAATGAGATGTAGAGCTTGCATATCATTCACATAGTGGATATTGGATGTGTCAATGTCACATATATTATTATTATGTGATCCAGCTTAACAACATGGGTGACTATTGCATGTAACCTTGAAAGAGCATAGAATAACATTTGGATTGGTAACTTGCCATGCAGACCTTTTACAGTATGCCTTATTTTGCATTCTTTATAGGTTTATCCGCACTGATGCCTATGTAAGAGCAATTACTGAGAAAAGAGTAGTCATAACAGAATTTGGAACATACGCTTATCCCGATCCATGCAAGAATATATTTTCCAGGTGAAAATTAAATTAAAGTATATTACTAGCAGCTTAAGGAATTGTTTACTTCATATGGTGGAAGAAATAATCTTTGTGTGCTCCATTTGGCAGATTTTTTACCTACTTCCAAGGTGTGGAAGTCACTGATAATGCCCTGGTTAATGTATATCCAGTGGGAGAAGATTTTTATGCCTGCACTGAGACAAACTTCATAACAAAAATCAATCCAGATAATTTGGAAACACTCAAAAAGGTAAAGTATTGATAGATAAAAAAAACAGGAATTAACAGGACTGGCATATGGTGATATGAATCCTTTTAAATGATAATTATTTTTCATCTCATACCTCAATCAACGAGTTATTGCAATAAATATTTTACAAAGTTCATGCTACCAGAATGCATTAGTAAAAATGCCAAAAATGATGCTCTTGAAGTTGACAACAGAACCAAATGTCACTGAAAGGACAATTTTATGGTTACTAGCACTTGTGCATTCAGAGCTGCTTTTGTGATTTAGTAAATTGGCCATGTTGGGTTTATAGATAAGAAAGAGCTAAAGAGACCCACTAATTTGACAAGAGTTTCCTATAAATATATAATAGTTGGTACTTCATTAAAGATCCTTGCACAGGTGACATTTTCAGCTCAGTTTCCATGCACTAAGGAAATGAAGCACCACGTAGTCCCACCGGAAGTGCCCTTACGTCGTGTGATGCCTCTGTAGAACTCCAATGGGGCTCAGTTTCCTAAGTGTATGGAAATGGGGCCCAAAGACCATCTGATAAAGTCCTAAGGTCTCTTCTCATATCTTCAACTACAACATCCACCATTCCAAGGATACAGGAATTACCTATAGTCAAATTATGAAGTATTAATCTCTATTAGTAAATAGCTATGAAACTCATTCCTAGCATATCATTTGTTAATATTACAGACACAGTTCAACAGTTTGTTGCATAACTTCTACTAAATTAGTAGACAGCATAAAAACAGCATAAAACTTGAACAATTCCACTTAAAATGTCTCTAAAACTCCTTTTAGAAATCAGAAACTAAAATTGTCATTAACTTATGCTTATAAAACTAACTTTGCTCCCCATGTTATGTTACTTTTGAAACTGCATTATTCTGATCTTGTCATTCAAACTATCACTCATTACAGAATATTTTTAGTTCATTACTTTCAGGTTCTGCACATATTCATTCAGAATTAAGCTTTGTGTTCTTGTTCATCACATCCATCATTTGGAAGTGACTTACATGCATATCTTCTTTTGCCTTTTGGAAAAATAGGCAAAAAATTCAAGGTTCTTGCTATACCTCTCTCTGGCATACTTTATTCTTTTTTCTTCATTCCATGGAAATCCCACTACACTCCAAAGAATCAATATTTGTTTCTAAATATGCATGTATTGACTTCATTGAGTTTTCTCCTTCCTCACCAAAACATATTTGGTAAATATGAAAACTTCGGGATTCCCAACATCCTACTGTGCTAGTGGTATGGTGCCATTTTGTTTTAACTCAGGGGATTAATTTGCTGTTAATGTATAGATTATACAGAAAATCACCAAATGTGTCTCAAGCATGTCTTTTATATACATGGTATAAACTGTCCCAAATAAATTAATGCCCTCCCCCAATTACACCCTTGTTATGATCTCCAGGTGGACATCAGCAAAATTGTTTCCGTCAATGGAGTAACAGCACACCCTCACATTGAAAACGATGGAACAGTTTATAATATTGGCAACTGCTTTGGAAAGAATTTTTCTCTTGCCTACAATATTGTTCGAATTCCTCCCCTGCAAGCAGGTCTGTGCATTTCCAACCATGATCAGCAAACTTTTGCCTATTACAATGTGGTCACTCTCCATGATTAAATTTGCCAACATTGTGTTTTATTTTTTATTCGTTATAGGATTTCTATAGCTTTTTTGTATCTCTGTTGTTGTGTGCCTTCAAATCATTTTGAATGGATGGTGACAGTCAAAGTGATTTTCTTCCTTATAATAACTCCAGATTTCAGAAATATGTTTGTGTCCAAAGACAGAAGACTTATTTACATTCCTCTGGTTGCTATAAAACGGCAACTCCCAGAAGCCCTATTCATCATACCCAGTGATATGAAATGCTGGGAGTTGAACCCAACAATTTCTAACTGGCTGGAATACACACTGAAATGCAACATCCAATTTCTTGTTCTTCAGTGCATCTACACAGTAACATTAATGCAATTTGACACCTCTTTAACTGCCATGGCTGAATGATATGGAATCCTGGAGGTTGAAGTTTTATGAGATCTTTAGCCTTTCCTGCCAAGGAGTACTGGTACCTCACCAAACTACAACTCCCATGACTCCAAAGCATTGGGCCCTAGCAGTTAAAGTGGTATCGAACTGCATTAATTCTACAATGTAGATGCACCCATTGTCCGCAATGCTCATAATTGGCATTGGGTTAAATGCTTGTGACGGCAGGACGCCTGATTGAAAGGTCGGCGGTTTGAATCTGGGGAGCAGGCTGAGCTCCCATCTGTCAGCTCCGGCTTCTCATATGGGGACATGAGAGAAGCCTCCCACAGGATGGTAAAACATCCAGGCATCCCCTGGGCAACCTCCTTGCAGACGGCCAATTCTCTCACACCAGAAGTGACTTGCAGTTTCTCAAGTCTTGCCTGACATGAAAAAAAAAACCCTCAATTGGCTTGTGTAAGAAAAACTGGTAGACGACATCTGCTCTCAAATGCTTTTTCAGACAGGAAAGATCCAATGACCAAGTGTGAGGTGGTGGTGCAGTTTCCTTGCAGTGACAGATTTAAGCCATCTTATGTACACAGGTAAATTCCAACTTCTGATAAAAATTGATTATATTGCTTTTTTGCATAGCTTCATAAAATTGGGGTATGTCATAAAATCATAGAATCATAGATTTGGAAGAGACCTCGTGGGCCCTCCAGTCCAACCCCCTGCTAAGAAGGAGGAAAATTGCATTCAAAGCTCCCCCAACAGATGGCCATCCAGCCTCTGTTTAAAAGCCTCCAAAGAAGGAGCCTCCGCCACATTCCAGGGAAGAGTTCCACTGCTAAACAGCTCTCACAGTCAGGAAGTTCTTCCTAATATTCAGATGAAATCTCTTTTCTTGTAGTTTGAAGCCATTGTTCCACATCCTAGTCTCCAGGGCAGCAGAAAACAAGCCTGCTCCTTCCTCCCTATGGCTTCCTCTCACATATATATACATGGCTATCATGTCTCCTCTCGGCCTACATAGAGAGTAACTTAATCAGAAAGGACGTGTTAAATTTCCAAATAACTATAGCATATGCTTGTATACTGTCATTTTCATCTATGCAAGTAACAAACAACACTCAACCATATTTCTGAACAGTTTTGGACTGACTGCAAACTACATCGTGTTTGTGGAAACTCCAGTAAAAATTAACTTGCTCAAGTTCCTTTCTTCCTGGAGTCTTTGGGGAGCCAATTACATGGACTGTTTTGAATCCAATGAAAGCATGGGGGTAAGTGATGTTGTGCTGCGATCCCTCTCTCTTGCTTTTTCTGCAAATCATGAGGGATATATGATTTTATTGCTTTGAAACAGTTCAAAGGTGCTTTCTTTTAAAGGTCTGGATGCATGTAGCTGACAAGAAAAAGGGGAAATACCTCAACATCAAATACAGAACTTCGCCCTTCAACCTCTTCCATCATATTAATACCTATGAAGAGAATGGATTTCTGATTGTGGATCTCTGCACTTGGAAGGGGTAAGTTCTGACACTGAAAACTACACCCTAAGGTCCTTTATGTCAAGAGTTTGGGAGCTGATGAACTGTGTCTTATGTTTGTTTATTCTATTATTCTTCTCATGTGTGTAGTTGTTGTTCTTGTATGCTTTCAAATTTTTAACTTATGGTGATTCAAAGGTGAACTTTTCACTAGGTTTTCTGGGACTGAGAGTGTGGTTACTCGATGGTTTCCCATGGCCAAGCAGAGAATCAAACTTTAGCCTCCAGAGTCATAGTCCAATGCTCAAATTATTATACCATGCAGCTTATCAAATTACCAGTTCAAATGCACAAACCAGTTCATATGAACAATCATGGACTGATTCTGCTTCACACACAAAGAAGAAAGGAAATGAGGGACCACACAAGCAAAGGACAGCTTTTTAAAAAACAAATGTACAATTAAATATCCCACTTTTTCCAATGAGTTTAAGGTATGTGGCATTCCTCCTCCTGAATTTAGCATCACCAATTGAAAGCAATTGGTCGAAAGTCAACCAATGAGTTTCAGAGGGGCTGAGCAAGGGACTGAACAAACATCTCCCTACTTCTAGTCCAACATTCAAACCATTCTTGTGTGGCGTAGAAGACTAAGTTGAATATAGAACTATGGTATATCCAACTAGCTGCTTATTTTCAACAAACTCTGGTGTTTTTGTCTTTGTGCAGGTATGAGTTTGTTTATAACTACTTATATTTAGCCAATTTACGGGATAACTGGGAGGAAGTGAAGAAAAGTGCACAAAAAGCTCCTCAACCTGAAGTTCGGAGATATGTCCTTCCCCTAAATATAGAAAAGGTAACCTATTCATCTATCGTATATTTTAACAAGGATATTTTTGAAGTGGAGTTTAATTTCCACACACTGCACTTCAACATTAGCTGACCATGTAAGAAAGATATTTTAGTCAACTGTAGATCTATAAACTATCTGGCCAGTTTTAACTTCCATAGAAACACAGCCAAATATAAACACTAGTGCTATTTTGCTCTTTCTGTGTTGAAAGTTATGACTTTTATCATTTTCCACTTCCAGAATCACTAAACACAACAACATTACTGTACTGCAGGTACACAGTGTGCATTTTTACTCATGAAGTGCACATAAAGATACATTACACTATTTATGAAGTTCTTGTTGATGGGTGAGCAAATCAGGTTATAAGTTGCTGCATTCTGTCACATTGTCCTTTCATAGGGAAGTTGAACCTTTCCTAGGAAAAAGAGCCATTGATTACTTCATCCTGGAGAAAGCAGATTTTGAAATGAGCCTATTCAAACTTGATCCTAAGTTTATAAATAGACTCTTAATTCTGTTTCTTAGTCACACTGTTGGGATCATGGGTGAAACCCAGGAGAATGGCTTCATTCTCTCCTTGCTCATTTACAGAAACGTAAAGCTGTTATTTTCCTCATTAGCTCCCCTTTCTTTCATCTAGGCTGACACAGGCAAAAACCTAATCACACTGCCCAATACCACAGCTACGGCCATTCTGAACAGTGATGAAACCATCTGGCTGGAGCCAGAAGTCATTTTTTCAGGGCCCCGTCAAGGTAAGACCAACCTCAGCCAAAAACAACCAAACCTGCTTAGTGAGAAAATGCAAATAATTCACTAATGTTTTGGTTTGTTTTATAGCTTTTGAGTTCCCACAAATAAACTATACAAAGTATTCTGGGAAACCGTACACATTTGCATACGGCTTAGGATTGAATCACTTTGTTCCAGACAGGGTAAGTATAGGGATGTTCTTCAAACCAGTTCAAATGGACATATATAGAATAAGCTAGCACTTGCAAAGAGGCAAACATGGATACAAATCTGATCAGGACTAACAATAGCATGAAAATGTAAGTAGCACTGAAATGCCCAATCTCAACACCATTTTTGATACTTATTTTGCTGTTTTATCAAAGTGCCCAGAAGAAGCTTTAATATGTTATAAGATCCAATTATCTGTTTAACTCAAACATGAAGTGTATCTCAATTCTTTCCATCCCTGCATAAAAATATTATATATACACCCAAGTTGAAAATGCAAATACGCTTTACATAAGGATATATCATCAATTGGTACCTTCTGAGAGTATAACATAATAATCAATATATAAGCCATGCAGAAAAGAGAACAATTTTTATCACTGGTTAAATATTTCTGTGTAATGGATCAAATCCAAGCTCTATCAAGTTGTTCTTCTTGTTATCCACTAGAACAAACTATACTCAGCGATGCCAATTTATATTTCTTCTAAAGCCCAAATCCTTATTTCTGAATGAATTAAATCACATCAGAACCCTTGTCCTCCACCATCATATTAACATGACTTTGTAACAGTAATTACCACATTCTAAGAATAAGCAGAATATGGATAAGCATTAAGAAAGAATTTAAAGTAATAATGATGCTTGTTTGTCTAACTAGTTTATATATGTGAATAAGAAATTAACAAGTCAATATTTCACCCATAATCTCTTTCTAGCTTTGCAAGATGAATATTAAAACTAGAGAAACTTGGGTATGGCAAGAACCAGATGCATACCCCTCTGAACCAATTTTTGTTTCTCACCCAGATGCTCTAGAAGAGGATGATGGTAATATATTTTTCTTTAGTTTTCAAAAAATATTCACAAGGGAAATACAGTAGATTTTGATGGCCAGCCAATGTGGTGTAGTGGTTTTGATTGCTGGACTGCTTAAGACCCAAAGTTAAATGCCCACTCAATCATAAAAACCATTGAGTGACCTTGGGCATATCATACTGTTTTGGCCTTCACGGAAGGCAGTGGCAAACCTCCTCTGGATAAATCTTTCTAACAAAACTCCATGATAGTTCAGTGGCCATTTTAATAAGGGCATGGAGGCTGTTATAGTAAGCCCCTATTAAAAATGTCAACCGCAGTCTTTCTACAGAGAAGCGTATGAAGAAAGCTGTTATTAAAAAATGGCTGCCACCACTGCACTCCACCTCAAGCACCCCAAATGGCTCTCCTACATTGCTATTCAAGTCAAAAAAGGCAATGAGAGAGGGAGAACTGCCTTTCTTTCTCTGGTTTTAGCAAGAGATGGGTAATATGATGTGAGTGCTTCTTGTCTCTGCTTCTCATCATTGCCTTCATGCTGGGTCCCTATTTCAGCAATGACGCATGTTTCTTGTCAAATATGTTCAACTTATGCAAAAGTATATAAGACAGTGATTTGTTCTTAGTGTTTATTGATGCTTGAACTAACACATCCTCCTTCCTTCCTTCAGGTGTTGTCCTGAGCATTGTCATTAACCCTGGCAATGGACCAAAACCTGCCTATCTTTTGATCTTGAGCGCAAAGGACATGAGTGAAGTTGCCCGGGCAGAAGTGGACATAAACATCCCAGTTACTTTCCATGGCCTTTTCAAAAAAGCATGATGGCTGCTTCATTAGGCCTATGATGAAAGTCTCCCTTTCCAGGTTAAAAAAAAGCCTACCCCTGCATCCTAAACTCTGCCAGAGATTTCCAAAATTAGTTCACATTTCAATATACATTTTCAAAACGCAGGCATACTTTTGTAAACCATGTTAATGTAGTCTAAATAAATATATATGCAAATTGACAGTATTTTATTGCTAATCCGACAGATGGAAAATTGTATAAAACAGAGCATCAATATTACACTGTCAAATTACCTTCACTGATTATTCTACAACCTAGGGGTTTGATTCATTAGTAAGATACAGACATGACCCTTCAGATTTTAAAACCAAGGGACTGGGGAAGGGAGACACATTCTTTTCAACAGATAACATTATCATGGAACAGAGGATTAGAAAGTTGCAATTTACCATTTATCAAAATAATCAGCTCAGAAACAAATTGAGAATTCTAATTCTGCTAAGCATGATGAATTCATACACTTTAGGACAATAATGGCTAATACATAAAATCATTACATTACAGTACTTTTGAAAAACCTTCCCTCACTTCTGAGGGGAAAATGTCCATTTGTTCTTATTGGCAATAAGGATTAACTCAAGAGTCTGTCTTGCATAAAAGGTCAATCTTCTCCTTAAAGATAGAGGCAAAGTTGTGTCAGAATTGCAAAAATCCATCAAAACTGTTTGTCGTATCCTTGAGAACGGCTCTCCATTATCCACAGCTTCGATCACCTACCATACCCATATTTCCTCTATCAGTTGTCACAGTTGGAAACACTGTTTACTTCAGTGAGGCAAGATTTATATAGAGAGTAATCTCTTCATGTGTTCAGCACCCTCTTCTGGGTCTTTCAGAGATCTAACATTTTTTGTTTTGGCTGATTAGTCTACTTGCTCATATTTTTTTACACTGTCCCTCTGTATTCTTATATTTTATTCCCCAACCCAATTAGTATACATATTAGTGTAAACTGCTTTCAATCTTGGGAAAGCATCTAACAAATAAATGAGTAAGAATTTCATCATCACGTTTCATATAACTTTGAAATATCTTGCCAATGAAGTACGAAGTACAATGAATAGCTGACATATCTCTTGAAATCAGTTATGTTTTAATACTGAGGTATCATAATGATATTGTGTTGAATTAATATACAACTTCTGAGCATTTGGTATCAATATAGTCAAATGTTCACATTCCATTCTTTAAAGGTAGGCATTCTTGCTCACATTCTGAAGACAGGCATAGGTGGCCGCTGCAGGGACATGACCTGGTGCTGCTGCTGTTTTGTAATTCTTAAACACTGTGCAATAACCTGCCAAAACACAAAAATACATCAGTAAGAATATTATATATAAGTACTTTGAGCACAGTGCTATCATTAAATTATTAAAAACAATTGTCCTTGCTCAAATCAACATGAAACTATGTTTCAGGGTAGCCTGTGAAGACAAATGGGAAATCTTCACAAGCATCTTCATTCCCAAAGTTCTTTAGTATAACTGATGAATTGCCTTTGAAAAGAAATATGAAAAAGCCTTACTTAAACTTCTTGTACCCTCAACTAAGAAGTAAAACCTTGTCTCTTTTCTACTTCTCCATTAACCTCTTGAAGCAACAAGTTCTTGTACTCACAACTAAGAATTAAAATTGTATGCCTTTGCTACTTCTCCATTTATTTCTTGAAGCTACATCCTAGTTGTCATCATTACAGAAAAAATATTTGGATCAAAAGGAAGGAGCAATAATCTAGACATCCTTGAAAGAAAAAATAAGGAACTTCAAAAGTTATAGTTGGTTATTTTCGTGTCAGGAGTAACCTGAGAAACTACAAGTCACTTCTGGTGTGAGAGAATTGGCAGTCTGCAAGGACATTGCCCAGGGAACGCCTAGATGTTTTACCATCCTATGGGAGGCTTCTCTCATGTCTCCGCATGGGAAGAAGCTGACAGATGGGAGCTTACTCTGCTCCTCGGATTCAAACTGCTGACCTTTTGGTCAGCAGTCCTGCCAGCACAAGTGTTTAACCCATTGTGCCACCGGGGCTCATGTTACAGTAAGTTATAAACTTCCAGGCAAGTCACCAGTTTAGACATTCATAAAGGTAATAAAACAAAGGGACAAACTTCATACTGTTGGTAATAAGAGATTAGAAAACAGGACAGACTAGGGCAGACTAGACAACACTATTTACTATACAAAATATATGGAATAAAACCAATTAGTATTAACATTATTCAACGTAAGATAATGGGAGGGATGAATGACTGATACAGTGATCATAACAAAAAAGAGCAAGTGCTGTGAAAAATCATAAACAATGATTTTGTGGATAGGAAGGCATGGGCAAAAGGAAGTATTTTATACAAGCACACACAAATAATAGAGCCTACCTTCCTTGAATTCTGAGGTAGGATTACACCATCATCCCAAATCCTGGCTGTAGAGTAAAATGCATTGCTTTCTTTCTTCAGCCTGGGAAAAAACAAATTTTATTAAGAATATTTTTAAAAGAAAAGGTAGCTTTTTAATCTAAAGGTACACTTACAAATACCCCTTTAGATATTTTTCTACTAAAGAGAAGTGATACAAAGTACACATTGCCTCAGGACAACAACAAACACATAAGAAGACTTAATTTATGTAAACACATGATTTTTGAATTTAAATAAAAGACATAGATTTCATTTTGAAAATATAACACAACAGGCACTGAAGCAAAGAAGATCCAAACAGAAATGTCAGTACAATTAATACTGAAGGATTTGGGAGTTTTAAAATCTACATACTTTTCCTTTAAAAGGTGTACTTCTGTTTCTGAACTGTCATCATCCCAAGTTGCTGAGAATGTGGGGAAATGTCTTGAATCCACAAGGGCAATTTTTGCATTAGGCCAAAGGAATAGGAAGTTTGGATCAAATGATCTCCCACACTGAATACAAACAACACAAAACCAATGGGATTCAGAAATTAGGAAATCCTCTTTAAGACAGTTGAACTATTTGTTCATAAGAAGACTGTAAAAAGCCTCTCCATTTGTTTAAAAACACAGCTTTCCTGTCTCAGTACAGCCTGAGTCTTTGCAGCCACAGCATCTAGAAGAGCAAAAGTAATAACTGGAGCCTTTGCGGGTTTCACAGTATCATATTCTGAGCGGTATGGATCTAAATTACATACTGAGCAAAACCCACATTGAGAACACAATATTTTGCTACACCTTTATGCAGTTATTTCCTGCAAACCAGTGAGAGTGGCCCATTAGAAAATATACATGAGATGATTTAATGTATAGAATCCAACTAAAACCATACCTCTAGAGTCAGAGGTCCACAGCAATTTTCCACGTGTACTATTTTAAAGTTACATTATGTTTCCCATAACCACTTTTACTTTTTATTTATTACATTTGTACCCAACTGTTCTCCCCACATAAAAAAAACCTCAAGATAGTTACATATTCTTAGCATTGATAAATCCCATTGATAGTCCCAATCAGAGGAGTCTGAATCAATGCCTTATATAGAAAAGAAACTGATTCAATGATCCTGTTCTAATTAGAATATATTCTAGTGTTTTCAAGGTGGGCATCAAAAATAATTTCAACACCTCCATTTTCAAGAACAAAGTAATTTGTAGCATAGACACAAAGCACATGCCAAAATCATCTAATGAGGTAAGAAGTGCAAGTAATCATATCAACACCATAGCCTAACTTAAGTCTGAATTATGTGTAATATAACATTACTTATATTAATGCAATGAAACATTAGTCAAATGCAAATATTGGTTCTCCATTTAGTGCATTTTCAAAGACTACTCACTAGCTAAGTGTCAAAGATCAGTTGTATGTTATAAGCTGCAAATTGATTATTTCCAGCTACGACTTAATGAGTGATCATACTGAGAGATCTCACCATAGCATAGGAGTCATTTCCATAGCAGCCACCAACGACAAGGGTGATCTTGGGAACAGCAGCACAAGCAACTGCAGACATCATGGAGGCATGTGCCTTTAATCTGTTAGCGTGGCCCACTGCCTAAATTAAAATGGAAAGTGTTGCCACAGAATTGGAAAATATTGCAAAGGCTATCCAGTCTAACCCAGTTCTGCCATGCAGGAACACACAAAGCACTCCCCACAGGTATCTATCAATCCTCTTTTTAAAAAACTCCAGAGAAGACTCCACCACATTCCAAGACAGTGCATCCTGCTGTGAAACAACTCTTACCCCTCAAGGAATGCTATACTGATGTTTACATACCAAAGTTATCTCATGTTCTTCATGGTCTCAAAATATAATGGTCAGTTTATTCTTAAAAATGAGACCATTTTGCCAATGCAAGGCGAAAAAGAAATAGATGGGAGATATTTGGAGGAGCTAAAGTTCTCTACCAGATATATAAATCTTTTTACCACCGATTCTTGCCTGGATGGGTGGCCATAGAAGTCAACCCATTCATGGAACTCTCCATCAGAAAGAGAATTTTGCTTTCTTTCCTGGATAACCTATCTCCTCATGATCCAAATCTTTCCCAGAACTCCATTTAAAAGACTATTGCCATCATAGTTGTTCCTTGCATGGTGCTCACTAGCCTTTTGTAAGGAGAAAGTTAGGAATAATTAAGGACTTTGTCTATGTGTACTACAGAGCCCAGGCACTTGAAAGAGTAGGCTTAGAAGCACTAGAATGTGCTCTCCATTGGCTATCTTACCTGGTTTGGACTGCTTGGATCTGCTGCACTTGGAGCTGTATTGACCACAAACAAGATTGGAATGTTTCTTTGGTTACAAAGTTGTACAAAGTGAGATCCCTTTAGAGAAGCATCGTGAGTCAGTTCACCGTTGTTAGCCACTATTCCAACCAGCTGTCTAACAAGAACATAAAACTGTGTAAGTTAAGCAAGTTCTCCTCTAGACATTTATACTGTGAATCTGCAATACCATCTTTAAGAAGCACTCACTGAAACACTTTTAAATTATTTCATTTTATTATAGTCTGGGATACTGTTGGAACTAGAAAATGTAAAGTGAATTTCACAAAGTTAGAATGGGTTAAAGGAAAAGAAGGAGGGAGTGATAAGGGGCAAGAAGGAATGTGGAGAGATTTTTTTTCTTTTTTAAAACTTTTTTTTGAGTTCATTTTTTAAAGATTTTATTTACATACATTAACAACTTACAGTGTAAACAAAACACAAACAGTGAACATTTTACAAACACATAGCCTCACCACCAAGGCCTGAACAAGTATCCTTTATTTATAAATGAATGTGGAGAGATAAGCAATTGCTAAAACGTTGCTAAGTGCCAGGACAAGATACCTGGGTGAGACATAGAAAGAGATCAGGCTGACCGGCCAGAAGATTGGGGGGGGGGGGGGGGGGGGGGGGGGATGAGTAGAAATTATTTTCAGAAACACAGGGATTGTTTGGGAACATGGGACTGTTTACAGAACAGAAAAGACACATAGAGGTGCTAAGCTGAGAGAAGGAAAATATAATCACAATGTAACATTGACTGTAATGTGGAGAGTAATACTTTGGCCTAGCAGGATTACCCCAATTCCTAATATATTACAAAGCTTACCAGATCACTGTTGTTTAGCTTTAGGCCCCCAATGTGGTGCCTATGGGCACCAGTCTGTCCACACTCTTTTGCTTCAGTGACACTTCCTGATTTCTACAATATTACTTTAATAAATACCTTAGGCACACATTGATCTTTAATGAGTTGAAGGTTCTTTATCAATCTGAACATGTGAAAAAACAGATGGACAGTAAAGGATAAAGCCCTACCTCTGCACTCATAATCTGTGTAACTGACTCAAAAGTTGTTAATCTTGTGTGCTTTAAAGTCGTTCCTGACTTACAGCAATCCTATCTGCAAATCTATTTAATCGCTGAAAAATGAATCCTAAATAAGGAACAAACATGTAACTTCCATTAATTTTCATGTAAAATTTTTGCAAGCAAAATGTATCTATTCATATTCTCAGTGGCACAGTTTGTCTTTTGCCATAGCATAAAAAGTATTTCTATAAGCATACTTTCATCTCAAAGGAAATTAAGGAGCCTGCATTTGTAGGATGCTTTATCAGTCTTAGCAAAATGATTCATTCTCTAACACTGCTCAGGGGCAAGCTTAACATTAAGGGAAAAGGTTAGGCTGCTATTGGCTTCTCTTTCACATACAAAATGGACTTTAAATATTTATTTGAGCTTTTTAAATGTTTAAAGTGATTCTGGGGGTGGTGAAAGCATTAGAGAATGAAACCTACTGCTGCTTAGCTATTCCATTGACAGAAGCCAGAAGGTGGCAGTTCTTCAGATTTTTCATTCTGTACTTCAAGTACTTACTAGAGTCTTAATCCTAGGCTTAAAGAGCTAACTGGCAAACTGGGGTTTTCCAGTCACTACATACTGGGTAAGACTAAACTATTAAACTACCATTTTACCAAAGAAAGCTAGATTATCTCAGAATCATAAGAGTTGGAAGAGACCACAAGGATTATCCAATGCAATGCCCTGGCATGCAGGAAAACACAAACCAAGGGCTCCCAACAGATGGCCATCCAGCCTCCCAGGTAGTATATTCCACGGCTGAATAGCTCTTACTGTCGGGAAGGTTTTCCTAATGTCTAGATGGAATATCTTTCTGCAATTTGAATCCATTGCTCTGTATCTTTGTCTCCAGAGTAGCAGAAAGTAGGCTTGCCCCCTCCTCATTGTGGTGTCCTTTCAAATATTTAAACATGGTTATCATGTCTCCATTCAGCCTTCTCTTCGCCAAGCTAAACATACCCAGCTCCTCAAGCCTTTCCTCATAGGACTTGGTTTCCAAAACTTGATTATATTGGTTGTACTCCTCTGGACACATTCCATCTTGTCAATATCCTTCTTGAATTTTTTGCCCAGGACTGGACACAGTATTCCAGGTGACAGCTGACTAAAGCAGAATAGAGTGGAACTATGACTTCCCTTGATATCAACACTAGAATTGCATTGGATCCTCATAGGGGAGGGACAGCCAGCCACAGAAAGAAATAGCTGCATATGAGGTGAAGAAGCCTGTTCGTTATTCTGAGATTTTGTTTTGTTTTAAAGATGTTTATCTCTTAAATATAATTTTATTGGTAAACTGAAATCTGACATATCATGTTGTTGTTGTGTGCCTTCAAGTCTTTAACCAACAAAGAGCAACCTACAGTAAACTTATCACAGGATGTTTTGGCAATATTTGTATTTGTAGTTGCTTTCCTGCGAGGCTGACAGAAAGTGGCTTGCCCAAGGTAAATCAGTGTGTTTCTGTAGCTAAGTGGAGATTTAAATCCTGATCTCTGAAGTCACCATCCAACACTCAAACCACCACATCACAGCATGTATTATAAAAAACATATATAAAAGTATTTTTCACTGGACATATAGTTTTGTGGTTCTCATCTTTTGTTTGGTGTTGGATCACCAGAATACAAACTTATGTAAAGAAACTGAGTACAAGATGCTATTAGAGAGCACACTGTATAGAACTAATGCTGATTTAAGCAAGTCTCACAAGACAGCAGAACATTGTCATGCAATGGCTAAATTCTTGTTTTCTTAGTGCTTGGCAGATTTGTTCTTCACCCAGGTGTTTAGTCCTCCAACTTCCAGCTAGCCAGCTTGTTCAAGATTCAGGAATTATAGGAGCTGAAGTCCACAACACCTGGAGGACCACAGGTTGAAGAGCCCTAGTTTAAGAACTATATGAGTATTGTTGATAGACTATATTATTATAAAATATTACAAGAACCAAACAAAAATTACTTCTACAGGACACGTAACATGGTCAGACTTTTGTTGATCAGCAGCCAAAACAAACATATATATTTCATAACTCACATATTTTTTTGAAATGGTCACCTTAGGGTTGTCAGATAGGGCTTGAAGGTGTATAATGTGCTATTTGATTGTGGTGATGTCAGATAAATAACATTTTTCCTAGCAACATTATCCTGCTGGTTATTTGGAAAATTTATTTCCCAAAACCTGACAGTTTACAGAGACAAAATTCAAGCAATAGCTGAATTGAATGATCTGTAGCCAGGGCCACTTCTTGGCTGGAAAGAACAACCCCTCTTCCAAACACTTGGAATATTTTAAATTAGGTTAGAACCACACATTTTACAGCAAACCATAAAGGATTTTCATTTATAAGAGAGATTTGTATTTGGCCCATGCAATGAAGACAGAATGAAAGATAAAGCACAGTGAGAATTAGACCGCAACATAAGAATTAGTCACAAAGACTGATCTCTTTCAGAAAATGGTGTATAAATTTCAGTCCAACCCGACAGTCTCCAGTGATAAGGTCACTTGACATGACTTGAAGGCACACAGCAAAAACAACAAGCACGAACCTTAAAGATAGGCTATGGACATTTTCATTAATTTTCTCAAACAAATTATTAATTCATTGATAGAAGTAATATTTTTGAGCTTTGCTGTTCGGAAAATCACACAAAAGCTTTCCTGAGCACTGAAATATAATGAAATTTAATACACAAGTAAGAAAACAAAAATAGTCCTGACAAGTCAAAAAAAGGAAACAGTACCAAAGAAATCTGATTAATATCTATCCTGGAGTAAGTCCCACTAAATTTAGCAGACCTACTCTCAGGTATGTTTAACTAGGACTGCTGCCTAAGTAGTTCAAAATAGGCCTATAAACACTTCAATCTGCATATACAGTGTCCAAACAAGCTAGTCTGTTTTAAATTTTAGTCTTACCCTTCTATGTAGGCAAATCCCGTTACTAAAGTTGTTCCATAATTTGTTTTGAATTCGTGGAATCTACTACCATCGATCATACGACTCAGAATCTATAAAACAATGTCAAGAAAAAAAAATACAAGCTGTTAAAAAAGAGAGGGGAGAAATGAGATGGATACATTCCTTCAGTCTGAAATGATTGATCACTACAGAGTTTATACTGTCAAAACTACAGTCATGAAACATATATACAAAAGAAAGTTTTCTTACTAATTTTATATGTAGAGTGCAGCTATAATTTTGTGGCGCAAGGCCCAAAAGTTCTTCGGAATCATACAAGGGACTATCAAACTCCAGAGTCTCTTCTGCAGGAATATCATAATTCAGCATGGAAATAGTATTTCTAACACATTCATATGCCTCTTTTTCTGAAGATGCAAAATGATCAACACACCCACTGATCCTGAAAGACAGATTTCATCCATGTATGACAAAGGTACAATGAACCACGGAAAAAACTAAAATGAGTCAAAAGAAAAAATATATAATGACATTAATGTGATTTTTTTTAAAAAAAACCTACTCATTTGTGCATCTGGGTAGATCATTTATTTCAAAAACTATTTATTTCAACTACAGGAGAAGCAGAATCTATGGAGGAATGCTGTATGATAAAGACATTTCTGTTTAAGCACACATTAATTAAATTATTTTATTTTATTGTTTTACTCACTTTTTAAATGTGCTGAATTTATATGTTTGGATGATCATGATGTTTAGCAATTTTATTGTATCTTGCTGGTTTTATCAGTCTTTCTCTAGATTTTAGAACACAGCATATAGCAAATTAATATGGCTTTTTTTGAAATTTGTTCAGACTATTCTTCCAAACATGAACATGAATGTGTCTAGAGCAGGCATGGACAAACTTCAGCCCTCCAGGTGATTTGGACTTCAACTCCCACAATTCCTAACCTCGGGCCCTTTCCTTTTTAAGCGGCTGAGGGGGAAAAGGAAGGAGCCTGAGGCCAGAAATTGTGGAAGTTGAATTCCAAAAATCCTAGAGGGCCAAAGTTTGCCCATGCCTGGTCTAGAACTACATTTCTTAGATTTATATACTGTTTCCCCTCAAAAGCAGCTCATAACCAAGCTGAAAATTCACATTTCAATATCATAACTCAAGTTTGAAGAAACACAGTTTAAAGCACATTAATTAAGGAAAATCTCATTGAAAGAGGCATTTGCCTTCCAAAGGAAAAGCAAGCTGGGGTCAACTTAGCATTCTTGGGATGGAAGTGAATGGAACAGAATGACAGAACCATGTTCTTCTTTGTTGGATTCATTAGTCCTTTCCCCCTTTTCCATCAGTTTAAAATTTCTTAACTACCAACCAGAAATAATTTCACTTGCTCCAGCAATCTTGAAGGATCTAAGGAAGTTCTGAGCATGGAAGAAAGGAGAAAACAAAAAAATAAGAACACAAACACTGTGGTGGCTGCCTAGCTTACTGAGGAAAAAATAAAAACACGGGAACTACGATGACTGCTGAACAGTGTGTCACTGAGGTTGACAACTAAGTTCAGATGGTCGCTGCCAAGAGTGTTGCTGAGGCAGATAAAAATGAAGAAAATATGTATTTCCTCCAGCAAAATGGAAGAAATAGGAAAGAAATCGAGTAATAAAAGTGACAAGAGAATAGAAATTAAATCAGTAGAGAGAGAGAAACCAAGAACCTGTTTGCATAAGTAAACAGAGAAAGCTAGGAAAGGGGAACAAAAGTCTTGAAGATATAGTACCATCAACATGAAGAGAAAAAGTAAGCAACACCTACGTAGAATGCAGCATGGCTCCTCCCAGGTCCTCAGAATTAATGTCTTCTCCTGTGGCAGCTTTAACTAAAGGGGGCCCAGCAAGGAACAGGGTGCCAATTTTATCTATCATAGCTACTTCTTCTGACATTGTAGGAAGGTAAGCACCTCCTGCGGTACAAGAACCGCATACCACTGCCACCTAGAGGACACACCGGTTAAGAAAGAGGAAACAGAGTAAAAGCTAATATTTAGCTGTAGATTTTCAAAATATATAGTATTTCTTATGAAAAGCACTGTTTTGCTAATCACCACAGGGAAACGTCAAAAAAGTGTATCAAAACTTTTATTTTAGGAAGGAATACATATCCTAAAGTCACTGCATCCTTGGAAGCTAAGCAGGATCAGAACTTGTTAGTCTTTGGATGAGGGACATTACAGAGGAAGGTACCGACCAAAGAACTGAGTAGTCCTTCCTAAGAGAATTAAGTAAAAGAATGTATATAGGCTTACAACAAAGATCTAATGAATAACTGTAGTTTTATCTATACTGTTTCTAACCCATATCAGGTAGAAGGTTCGTAGCAAAAAAAAGAATCCAAATGTAAGATGCTATATAATTCTTTGGAAATACTCTGAAATACTCGGTTCAATGGTTATAAATTATTTTTCAAAATTCTAGTGGAATATATGTTTTAAAACAGACTACTTAATATGCTGTTATACCTGAGGAATTCTTAATGAAGACATCAATGCCACATTGTAGAAAGTTCGACCTCCATGGGACTTGTCAGGAAATATTTCTGCCTGACAATACAAAAATAGGAAAGAACAAGAGTTTCAAGTATTATAGTTAATTCAAAACTCTGTATCAACAGCACAGTATAATTAATCAAACTTTAAATTTACCCATATTTCACATCACACCTCATCTAAGAAGCATTTTGTCAACTGGGATTTGACCATAGACTGTGCTGGAGGGCCTAGAAATTGCCAGAGAGGTGTTCTGCGCAAGTTACACAGCCTTGCACTTCATCCCATGCCGTCTTTCCATGGTTACAGCTCTGCACATCCCATTCCCTTCTCCTTATTGTTTTCACTGCCTGGCCACATTTACAGGAGCTTACCACTATCGGTTGATGAGCACGCAGTTTTATTGAGTCTTAAGTTGTTGTTTTATATGCCTATGTGTTTTACTCTGTTGTATTTTATACTGTGTTTTATTTTATGCTGTTTTTAGGCACCTTGTGCCGTGTGTAAGCCGCCCCAAGTCCCTTTGAGGAGATGGTGGTGGGATACAAGCATAAAGTTATTATTATTATAATCATCATCATCATCTCAGGTAAAAAATAGTAAATAGTAAATTTCTATTTGCAGTTTTTCACTTTTGCCTGGTTCTGTGCCTAGGCTGGCTGTACTTTGCTTTATTATTTAAAATTATTTTAACATTATGTTTTTAATTCAACTGTTGTTTAATTCTTTTTAAAATTGTGCACAATCCAGTTTTTTAATGCTTATAAGTCACCTTGGTTCTAATACAAGGAGAGAGGCAGGATATAAATTTAACAAATATATGAAATAATGTTAAATGGAATCATTTTAATGCAGACTAAAGTTTAGAATTTATTTCATAGAACATATTTTTACCTGAAGTGGCAAGAAGGCTCCTCCACTATCCACAAGATAAACAGATGGAAGTCTGTTCTGCATTGCTATTTCTTGAGCTCTTAGTTGTTTCTTTACTGAAATTGGGAATAAAGTCCCACCTTTCACTGTTGCATCACTTGCTGAGAAGACACACCAAATCCCACATATTCTGCCAATTCCTGAAATGAAATTCAGGATGAATACTGCAAAGATCTTCTAGTGAGGGAAAAAATGCAATTTATCATATTCATAATAAATGATCTATATGGAAACATTCTGTAATTGTCTTATCAGGTTGTCTGCAGTTTAGAACTTTCTATTTGCTGCAAAAGAGTTGGAATGTAATCAGCTGTGGACATGAGTGTGTCACTCTGCTTCTAGTCCACAGCACATCACTTATTCCATTAATTATACTAAGAAATATGATCTGCCCCAAAGAAATAATTAGTTCTGCTTATCGTAACAAAAATTACATTTTAAATATGCAAGGAATTTTACAAGTACTATTCTTATCTTGAAGGATGATTACCATAAACACATTTATGAGATTTAAGGTCAAACAGAAATGCTTCATTTAATATTTAATGCAAAGCCTGGTCTACAATATTTGTCTTTCTGGGTTTCAAATAGTTACATTTGAGATCTAGTCTATTCTGTTTTCAATATTCAGTATTCCAATGCATACAATAACAGAAAACAAATAATATTCTTCTGGCTTTGTGTTTTAAATTTGTGCTTTTAATAGTCTTTTTTACTGTTTTTAACCTTTCTATAATAAGGGCTTTAGCTGCACTTCATTTTAATTTGCTGTAGAAGTTTAGGTTCCATGACAAAGAAAGTAGGATATAAATTAAATAGATAACATAATTATAATGGTAGGCTAAAACTGATTTATCCCTATTAAGCAAGAACGAAGCAGATGTGGCATTGGCAGTATTATTAATAATCATATTGATCATTAATTCCCCCTTATGTAAACATACCAGTGAGACAGGCTCCAGCTGGAACATCCCCATAAGGCATATCTAGGCCTGCAAAAGGGGAAAGCTCAAGGAAAGGTTCATCATCAAGAAGCATCTTTAAGCGTTCACGAGCAAGCAACTTTTTGTTCTTCTGAGTGTGACGAAATATTGCATTTTCCCCTCCTCCTTTACTGAACTTCTCAAGCACTTCTGAATATCTGATATTAAAATGAAAGGCTCAACAGAGCTCAATTCCAAAACACAAGAAGCTTAAAAACTAACACCGTGCATATATCAATGACCCTTCATCTACTGAGAAAACACTGAGGTTAAGTTACTACCCTAAATAGATGCTAGATATTCATCAACCTCATTGAGTTGATTGCATTACAGTGGCCAACACACACTTCGGTGCTTTAATGTTAGACCTGTTTTGGGGTATATTTGATCTTCTGATTCCAAAAATGGTGCCAGTTTTCCCTATCAGCTTTAGTTTTTAAGATACAGAACATATGCCATGTGTCTTTGTTTCCTTGCCCACAGAAAATCACGATAACCATATCTGATACGGTCTATTCAATGCAATTTTCTGAATTAATACCCCAAATAACCCCAAGGACAAACCTAAAAACCAAGACACCAAGAATTTATTTTTGGTAAAGGTTTCCCCTTGACATTAAGTGTAGTCATATTCGACTCTGGGGTGTGGTGCTTATCTCCATTTACAAGCTGAAGAGTAGGCATTGTCCATAGATGCCTCCAAGGTCATGTGGTAGGGATATGTTATTAACAATCAGAAAGAAAGGAATAACAAAATGTTTATTTTAACTYGAGATGGAAGGATATGTATGAACTACAGATTTTTTTTCAAATTTGGGAAAATATTGTATAATGTATATACACATGCTGTAAGGTAAAGGTAAAGGTTTCCCCTTACATTAGTCATATCTGACTCGGGGGGGGGGGGGCTGCTCATCTCCATTTCGAAGCTGAAGAGCTGGCATTGTCCATAGACACCTCCAAGGTCATGTGGCCAGCGTGACTGCATGGAGCACCGTTACCTTCTCGCAGAAGCAGTACCTACTAATCTATTTACTTTTGCATGTTTTCAAACTGCTAGGTTGGCAGGAGCTGGTCCTAATTGCGGGAGCTCACGCTGCTCCCCAGATTCGAACTGCCAACCTTTTGGTCAGCAAGTTCAGCAGCTCAGCAATTTAACCTGCTGTGCCACCAGGGGGCCCTTATACATGGTTTAAAAGCATGAAAATATTTCTTTACTGGTACTATATTCAGAAGTCCCTCTCCCCCAGACTTAAAATAATTTTCTGCTACTTGAATATTCATTTGACAAATAAAGACAATCACTCCTTCGGAATTACTCTCTGATGAAAAGTAGAACTGCTTGATCACTTTCATTGCCTGTGCCTAAGATCTGTTGCTATCATGGGAGTCCACCTGAAAACAGGATTAATATGCCATTATTGCATTTTGTGATGTTTGGAGTTTGGTTTCCTCAAAAGACATTGTGGAAATTATTAAACTGAAAAATAGCTCTAACATGCAGTCATGACTTCATCTTTAATACCATTCTTTCAGCTTATGTTAATAGTTTTGCATAAAGCTTTTTGGACTGCTGCCATATGGTTCTCCAGCAGTAATCCATAAAATTCGTGAGTCGCTGCCTTACCTTTAACAATTAACCAAAAGAAGTGTCAACCATTTTAGAAAGGAATGAGTCACCATATATAATTGCATTCAAAATAAAAGGGGGGGATACACTTTAGGAAGTTTTCAAAAATATGCAAAATATATAACAGTTAAACTTTGAAAGAAATAATAAAACTAGATGCCTTTACGGTATGTTACCAATATATAATGTTGCTCTAAATACCATTCCCTCCTCTACAAAATAAAGATCAACTTTACATAGGCTGATAAATCATTCTAATCCTTTCTGGAGATATGATAAAGTTGAATAAATGTCAAATATGCAAAGTGAAAATTCGCAGACTGATTACATTTGAAGTCAGCAAAACTCCCCTGAAACCTATAGAATAAGCCATGGGTTTGATCTGGGATAACTACTTTACAGAATCTTAAAATGCATACACTATTCCTAAACAACTGGATAAACAAGAGACTAATTTTGGGTTCGTCTACACTGCAGAAATAATGCAGTTTGACACCACAACTGCCATGACTTAATATTATGGTGAGGTACTAGCCCTCTATGGCAGAGAATGCTAAAGACCTTATAAAACTACAATGTCAAGGATTCCACAGCACTGAGCCATGACATTTAAAGTGGTGTCAAACTTTATTATTTCTAACAGTGTAGATGTATCCCTGGTTGTAATCTTAATAAGTAAATTACCTTTGAATGCAGACCTTGCTGTTCCTTGAATTGCTTTCAAATACATGTCGATAAAGGGAAGGGATGTCCCCATTTAATACCGGGATTTTTGTATGCTGTTGTTTATTTTTTGTTTTGCAGTTCACAGAGGAGCAATGTATCATGTTGCTTAGAGGCATGTTGGTAGCTTTTAATCCATTCTCACAGGTCAATAAATTCCATGTTTTCTGTCTTCTCATGTGAAGTTCCTGGTATTTGCTTTTGGAAGCCCTAAATAATGGGGCACAACATGTAGATAAAGGACACTGCAGATATCGGAATAGTGGGGTATAAGCAATATGCTTCCACGTGACCCTGAAATGATAAAAACATGTGGATAATTTATTTTTAAAATATATATTCCCTGAACGTCCTGAATATATATTTTATATTCAGGGCATACATATCAAAAGTTCACAGTCAAAAGAGTGGCCTATGAACTAGTGCTAATCTCTGGAGTTTTCCATAATGAAAGTTAGAATGGAAACCGCATTGAGTCGCCGTCTCAGGCTGATAAATGCGGTATACAAATGGAGTAAATAAATAAATAAAGCCACAAATACGGTGCTAGTCCCTGACACACTGGGGGGAAATTGCAGGCCTCTCACAACAGATAACTTACAAATTACTGATCTGACATATGGAATTTATGTAAAGCATATAGCCAGAACTTTAATCCATAGTTTCAAATTGTATATACATTCTATCCAAAGCGGTTTTTATAGAAAAAAATCCACTTCTTGATTTTATCCTATTTCATTTAAGTCACTGAAAAAGCAGTGCTAGAATCAATGATAATGAGGAGTTGGAAAAGGAACCAACTTGTGGACCTAATAGCCATGTAAGATCTGGGTTCCTCTTTCCCCTCACAAACAATGAAGAAAATCCTACCTATGTAACTGTGTGCATATACCTCTGCTATTAAAATATTCATTTTATTTGCAATAAAATTCATTTTATTTCCAAAAGTAGCAGGCTAAAACCCAGCACCTCAATCCATGGCTGATATCAAATGAGCGACGCCCTCCTGGGGACACAGAAGTCTGGGTGACTTGGAAGGCGCTGAACAGGCTGCACTCTGACACTACGAGATGCAGAGCCAATCTTAAGAAATGGGGCTACAAAGTGGAGTCTACGACATATGAGTGTGGAGAAGAGCAAACCACAGACCACCTACTGCAATGCACAATGGAGGTCCTTCTTATAGCAACACCAGAGGCACTCCAAGTGGCCAGCTACTATTTATCGTGTCAGTAGTAACCAGATAATTGTATTACATTTTTAACCAAAATTTTAACCAACAGGCAAAACAGAGTTTGCAAGCTTGGTAGTTGATTAAATTCCTTTGACCAGTAGCTGGCCACTTGGAGTGCCTCTGGTGTTGCTGCAAGAAGGTCCTCCATTGTGCATGTGGCAGGGCTCAGGTTGCATTGCAGCAGGTGGTCTGTAGTTTGCTCTTCTCCACACTCGCATGTCATGGATTCCACTACTGGCCAGCTACTGTCAAAGGACATTTAATAGAATGCCAAGTTTTTAAACTTTGTGTTTTCTCAAATACATTTGTTCATTCCTGATACAATAAATAAATGAAATAAATGAATTTGCAATAAGGAGATCTGAATTACATTGAAGTAGGATTTACAAGCGTATGTGATATTTGGCAGCTAACTCTTCAAATACGTGTATATTTGTGAACACAAACTAGTAAATTTGGAGATATTCTGTCTTGATTGTATGTTCCTTTTTTCTATTACACCTATGACAAGGAGCAGGCATTGACTGTATTTCACATAACATCATACAGAATTTCTAAAGATTACAGACTTAAGTGGAACAGTCTGACTCCCAATCAACATGTTCTCCCATAAAAGCCTGTCCAAGGTATTTATTTATTTATTTCGAGCGCTTCTACCCTGCCCTTCTCAACCCCCTAGGGGGGGACTCAGGGCGGCTTACAAAAGGCACAATTTGATGCCTAACAGTTCACAAAATACAATATACAAAATACAATATAACAACAACAACTATAACTAGGTATGACTTCTCTTGTGAAAAGTCCTTTCATTCCAGTGATGGAGAACTTTTTGAGTAAAAGCACTGGAATTCCCTACTAGGGGCAGCCAGCTACCCCTTCATAAGGTTACATGTGTCAAACTCAAGGCCCACAGGCCAAATCCACTCTGCCATATCATTTTATGGAGCTCTCCAGGTGCTGGATGCAACTCCTATATTCCTCATCATTAGACATCACAACTAAAGTTGATGGAGTTGCAATATAGTAACATCTGGAAGGCTGCAGTTTTTCTGTTAATGCAGGACAGTGGGGTTTGAATTTAGATATAAGGCTTGCGGATATGATGTCTGACGTCAAAATGTCATTTAACATTTCCCAACGTCAGCACTACAGGTGCAATTGGGCTGCAATCCCCACCATCCCCACTCTGCAAAGCAGCTAATCAAAAGTGATGGGAGCTGTCATTCAATAACATATGGGAACCAAAACTGGATGAACACTGAACATTGAACACTATGTAAACAGACAATAGTTGGCCCTCTGCATCCATTGATTCTCCGTCCATGGACTCAATGCCCCTTTGAAGGCAACCATAAGGCTGATGTGACCCTCTTTGAAAAGGAGTTGGACACCCAACCCTGCTCTCGGTAGTCTACCAGTTACCAAAATAGATTTTTATTCAGACAATTGGAGAATGCTTCAGGTAAAACTCCAAAGCAGCCTTGCACTTCAGGGTGAGTGCAGTCAGTTACAGCTGGCTCTAATTTGAACTGGTCTGCTGACCACACATCCTTTTTTTCCTGTACTTAGTGATTTGGAAAAAGGGGAATAGATCAGGCCTGTATCATTCTCCCGTCACTATGGCAGATAATAATGGAGCATTTGGATTTGGGCAGCTGTTTCTATATGTACAGAAGTTTATGTGTGGGGAAGTTGCGAAAGAGATTTAAGCAAGAATCTTATCATTTAGAATTTGACAATACAGAACAAATACAGGGCAGCAAACAAAGAACAACACTTAGAAAACAGGGGAATTCCAGACAGGAAACAATCAGGGCCAGCTAACACCTCCCAACAAAGAATTCCCCCAGGCAGGAAGCAGCCAGGCTTTGAAGCTTTAAGGCCATTCAATTCAATGCTAATCAAGGTGGCCAATTTCAAGATTTACACTTGCCTCAAACAGACAAGAGTTCTTTTCCCAGCCTGGACATTTCACATACATACACACTCACACACTTGCCTACATACATACACACCTCACAACCTCTGGGGATGGCTACCATAGATGTGGGCGAAACGTCAGGAGAGAATGCTTCTAGAACATGGCCATACAGCCTGGAAAACTCACAGCAACCCAGGACAAATAGATCTCAACATTTTGGTTTTTCCAAATGTGTACAAAATCTCTATGAGATAGCACATTTGGCGGGGACGAGAGACAGGACCTTCTCTGTGCTGGCCCCCTGCTTCTGGAACACCCTCCCCAGTGAGATTAGGTCAGCTCCATCCCTTTTCTCCTTCAGGAAGAAGCTTAAATCATGTTCTGGGGCCAGGCATTTGGGGAGCAGGCTTGATAGCGATTGCAATATTTATGTAAACTGACAATGGACAGGCTCTGAAAGTCTTTGGACACTGAATTGGATTGGGTTTGGCTGTATGGTTGGTAATAATGTTTTAAAATGGACTTTAACTTAATGGTTTTATTTAATGTGCAATGGTGTGATATATTGTGTATGTATTTTGAATGTGCTGCCATCGAATTGTTGCCGATGTAAGCAGCCTTGAGTCCCCCTTAGAGGGTTGAGAAGGACAGGGTACAAACGTTGGAAATAAAAAATAATGTATTTGTCTAAAGAAGTCCTGAGATTTGCAAATTTAGGGAGAGCTATATAGAATTAGCAGCCAGAATGCTTCAGGAAAGGATAAACCATGAGATTAGTCTAAAAGAGAGAAATCTAAATTGTCAGTCATTCACATTTTTTAAATATTTTCAAGCTGTGGATAGTTCACTCTATGAGTGGTGAATCTACAGATACAGAGGGCCAATTGTAAATATTGAGTCGAAAGGCATTTGATCCTGTTTGATCTTGGAAGCAAAGCAGGGTCATGGCTGCTTAGTATTTAGGTGGTCTGTATTTCTGAGGATTCTTGTGTAAGAAAACCTTGTGAAATTGAGGTCATCAGGTGACTTGAAGACAGAAAAATCTGACCTTTGTCAGTTCTCAACCCCCAATGCTAGACCTTCCAGCGCGGGGTGGGGGGTGACCTTTTGGACTTTTACTCTGGCTAGAAATCCCTTGCCAGCATATCTGAGCGTAGTAGCCTTGGATGGCCAAATTTTGCCCATGCCTGCTCAAGACCTTGCCATACTATAACTCCCAGGATTCCACAGCATTGAGCCATAGGAATTTTTGAAACCTTTCTTTTGATAATGATGGTGGTTAAAAGTACATTCTCAATTAGCAATGGGAGTTCAACAAACAGAACACATATATATATAAAAACCTCAGAGTAGAATGAAAGCAGTTTAGCACCACTTTAAACTGCCATGGCTGGGTGTGAGATAAAACATGCGAGTGCTACTTCGACACGGCCTTCTGTACCAAAGTGTGCTGGTGCCTCACCAAACTACAACTCCCAAGCAGTCGTGTGAAGCATCATTAATTCTATGTATTGTCGAAGGCTTTCATGGCCGGAATCACTGGGTTGTTGTAGGTTTTTTCGGGCTATATGGCCATGTTCTAGAGGCATTTTCTCCTGACGTTTCGCCTGCATCTATGGCAAGCATCCTCAGAGGTAGTGAGGTCTGTTGGAACTAGGAAAAAGGGGTTATATATCTGTGGAATGACCAGGGTGGGACAAAGGACTCTTGTCTGCTGGAGCTAGGTGTGAATGTTTCAACTGACCACCTTGATTAGCATTTGATGGCCTGGCAGTGCCTGGAGCAATCTTTTGTTGAGAGGTGATTAGATGTCCCAGATTGTTTTCCCTCTGTTGTTTTGCTGTTGTAATTTTAGAGTTTTTTATACTGGTAGCGAGATTTGGTAGACAATCTGGGACATCTAATTAACTCTCAAGAAAGGATTGCTCCAGGCACTGCCAGGCTATCAAACGCTAATCAAGGTGGTCAGTTGAAACATTCACACCTAGCTCCAGCAGACAAGAGTCCTTTGTCCCACCCTGGTCATTCCACAGATATATAAACCCTTTTTCCTAGTTCCAACAGACCTCACTACCTCTGAGGATGCTTGCCATAGATGCAGGCGAAACGCCAGGAGAACACGGCCATATAGCCCGAAAAAACCTACAACAACCCAATCATTAATTCTACCACGCAGAGCAGGCCTGGGCAAACTTGGGCCTTCCTGGTGTTTTGGACTGCAACTCCCACAACTCCTAACAGCCTCGGGCCCCCTATTCTTTCCCTCTTCGGCCGCTTAAGCCTGAAAGGGCCTGGGGTTGTTAGGAATTGTGGAGTTGAAGTCCAAAACACCTGGAGGGCCCACGTTTGCCCAGGCCTGGCGTAGAGTAAAGAACCCAAGCGAATACCCCGTAATGAGGGGGAAGGGGCCTCCCTCAGGAAGGCGAGGCCTTTGCCCTCAGCCTCACTTTCCCCCCGAGTTTCTCCGCCTGCAGAGAGGCAGAGAAACTTTCTTTCCCCTCATGACTCCAAGGAAAGCTCCGAAGTTTACCGTCTGCCAGGCCTGGCCTTTCCCAGGAGGGCCATGCCGCGCCAGCCTCGAGTGACAACTTCTCCGGGCCGAAAAGGAGGCCCTTCCCGCCCCTCGACTCAACTCCGACGGGCCCGGAACTCCCTCGCATTGAGGAAGAGGAGGGCCCGGGCGCCACCTCCGGGCGGAGGGCGGGAAAGACCCCGCCTCGGCCTGGTTCTCTCCCCAGGCCCCAGTCCGGCCGATAAAGTGGGATTCCTAGGCCTCGCTTTCCCCCTCAAAAGGCTCCCAACCTTGCCCAGGCTGGCATTCCTCAGCCCTCATCTACGCTGCCATATACTCCAGTGCCTGAATCCAGATTATCTGCTTTTGAACTGGATTGTATGGCTGCGTAGACTCAGGCCCCTTCCACACAGCCATATAACTCAGAATATCAAGGCAGAAAGCCCCACAATATCCTCTTTGAACTAGATTATCTGAGGCCCCTTCCACACAGCTGAATAAAATCCCCCATTTTCTGCTTTGAACTGGAATGTATGACAATCTGGACTCAGATAACCCAGTTCAAAGCAGATATTTCTACCTCGATATTGGGGGTTACATGGCTGTGTGGAAGGGCCCCCATAATAAGGCAGAAAATCTCACAATACCTGTTTTGAACTGAGTCCACACTACCATATATTCCAATTCAAAGCAGAAAATGGGGGGTTTTATTCAGCTGTGTGGAAGGGGCCTCAGATAACCCTATGTAACATGATTTTTGTTCAAGGGTTAAAAAGGTAAAAGTTTCCTCTTTGACATTAAGTCTAGTCGAGGCCAACTCTGGGGGGTGGTGCTGTCGCGTTGTCCATAGACACCTCCACAGTAATGTGGCCAGCATGACTGCATGGAGCATCATTACCATCCAGCCGAAGCAGTACCTATTGATCAAGTCACATTTGCATGTTTTCAAACTACTAGGTTGGCAGAAGCCAGGGCTAACAATGGAAACTCACCCCAACCTGCGGATTCAAACTTCCGACCTTCCAGTCAGCAAGTTCTGCCTTCTTGGCGGTTAAACCTACTGTGCCACTGCAGCCCCCAAATGACATTTCCAGGGTTACAAATGTCATTTCCTGATTGGTTCCTATCATTAAAAAATGGGAAAAGTTTATTAAACTGCCAAAACTTTTTTTTTCTGGGACATCCTGCAGCATGTTTTGCTATAGTTTGTCCATTATTATTTGAAACACAAATTACTATTATTACCATTATTATTGTTGTTGTTGTTGTTGTTATTTTAAACACAACAAGATGAGTCCACAGCAGACACTCTGCTGGCTGTTGAATTGGATCACAAGTTGGACACTTCCCAAGTGTCTAGAATTGTGTGATGTATCGGCGAATAATGCGTGCAGATCCCAGTAAGGTGGCCTTTTGTAGCTGGCAGATGGTAATCTTGTCAGCGCTGACTGTGTTTAAGTGCAGGCCAAGGTCTTTAGGCACTGCACCCAGTGTGCCGATCACCACTGAGACTACCTTGACTGGCTTGTGCAGAGTCTTTGCAGTTCGATCTTTAAGTCCTCATATCGTGTCAGCTTTTCCAGTTGTTTCTCTTCAGTCCTGCTGTCACCTGGGATTGCAACATCGACAATCCATACTTAGTTTTTTAACATGATCATGAGGTCAGGAGTATTGTGCTTCAAAACTCTGTCTGTCTGGATTCGGAAGTCCCAGAGTAGTTTGACATGTTCATTTTCTGTAACTTTTTCTGGTTTGTGATCCCACCAGTTCTTTGTCGCAGGCAGATGGTATTTGTGGCACAAGTGCCAATGAATCATCTGCGCAACGGTGTTATGCCTCTGCTTGTAGTCTGTCTGCGTGATCTTTTTACAGTAGCTGAGGATGTGCTCTATTGTTTCATCTGCTTCCTTGCAGAGCCTACATTTGGGATCTGTCGTCGACTTTTCAATTCTGGCTTTGATGGCATTGGGTCTAATGGCTTGTTCTTGGGCTGCCAGAATCAGGCCCTCCATCTCCTTTTTCAAAGTTCCATTTGTGAGCCACATCCATGTTTTTTCTTTGTCAATTTGGCTCTCAATTTTTCCCAGGAACTGTCTATGGAAAGCCTTCTTTCGCCAGTTTTCTCTTCTGCTCTGGATTACGGCATTCACTCTTTGTTTTTTACACTTTAAGCAGTTTACTATTATTGTCTTCCCTCAATGTTGGTTACTGTTGTTGTTGTTATAGAATTAATACATTTTGACACCAATGCTCCTCTGAGCTTCAAAACCAAACAAAAATCCCAATATTACCGGTAAATGGGGAAATCTTTTCGCTTTTGATAGGCATGGAATTGAAAGAAATACAAAGGAATAGTGAAGTCTTCCTGTAGTAGTAGTAGTATACTTGTTAAGATTTTTGACGGGTACCGTTAAACCGTGAAATACACATAGGAAGTTCATTAAACCTGTAGGCTAGTGGGGAAAGAACCTGAGATGGCTGCCATCCCTGAAGACAGAAAGGCATGGCACCTTGAAATAGGGAATGAAATAAGATGATTCCCTCTGCTTTTCCCCACTTTCCTCCCCTCCATAGGTTCTAAGAAGACAATTCCACCCATCCGTGTGGAAACACCTCTACCTCTAAATCAGGGGTCCTCAAACTAAGGCCCGGGGACCGGATGTGGCCCTCCAAGGTCATTTATCCGGCCCTCGCTCAGGGTCAACCTAAGTCTAAAATGACTTGAAAGCACACAACAACAACAACAATCCTATCTCATCAGCCAAAAGCAGGCCACCACTTCCCACTGAAATACTAATAAGTTTATATTTGTTAAAATTGTTCATTTTAATTATTGTATTGTTTTAAAGTGTTTTTTTGCACGACAAATAAGATATGTGCAGTGTGCATAGGAATTCCTGGTTTTTTTTCTTCAAATTGTAATCCGGCCCTCCAACAGTTTGCGGGACCGTGACCTGGCCCTCTGTTTAAAAAGTTTGAGGACCCCTGCTCTAAATAATGTTTCTTAGGCGCAGTGGAAAAATCTGGCAATCCAACATGTATTTTCTTAACTGTCCTGCAGAGGTCTCCAGATGAGTTCCTAATTAAGGAAAACCTCCTGACAATTTTTCTCCGTCTCCCTTTCGTTGTCCAGTTGATGGCACTTCTGTAAACAATGTTCCTTTCTCTAGAGACAGAAAAAGAAATTAAAACATCACCACAAATTATTTGCTGTATGCAATCAAAAGAAATCTCAATCATTGGTGAATATGCTCAGAGTCATAGCCTGGATTGCTTAATTGTTTGTTAGAACTGGCATCACTTAAAAGCAAGAGCTAAATACAGTAATTAAAACCATATGGATAGCTACAGTCTGTATTTTTAAAAATGCATTTCTTTCTCAGTTTCGGCCACTAGTAATTGGTACTGTTGTATGCTTTCAAATTTTTGCAAAAAAATGACAACTGTATTATGGGGTTTTCTGGAATTGAGAATGTGTGACTTGCCCATGATTGCTCCAAGGGTTTCAATGGGTGAGGAGGGAATTGAATCCAAGTCTCCAAGCATAGATACTTAGACAAAGATTGAGTCTAAATAGCTCTCAATCTTTGTCTAAGTATTTTGACACCTTGAGAAGCCCCAGCCAACATATGACAATTGAAATCCAGAAAGTAAAAACTAATTTTCTTGGACCTACATCCACCTCTAAAGAGAATACATTTATAGAATCAAGTGATGAATGACACACGGATATATATACAGTGTCCCAAAAAGTGCGTACACCCTTTAACTGCTAATAATAGCTATTTGAAGGTTAAATAAATGCATTTCTATTCAAAAAAAATATAAAGATGTTTTATAGTTAGAAATTCCATTTTAAATAATTTTTGTGTGATGTTCAAATTTTCATCTCTGCACAGCTATGCTTTGCATGCATTGTGCAACCACAGAGTTGCAAACCTCACTTAAAGTTTGTCTTGTAATTTCATGACGCTTCTACTATTGGAATCTTTAATCCTTTTTAAAGGGGTATACATTTTCAAAAATGCAAGTTATTTTCTTCCAAAATTATAAATTGTTATGGGTGTGTATATTGCTTTTGGGAGACCCACTGTATATGTTGTTGTTAGCTGGTAACTTTGCTTTATGGTGACACTATTAATGAGAGACCTCCAAATCACCCTGTCATTTACCACTCAGTTCAGGCATTGCAGACTCAAGGATGCAGCTTCCTTGATTGAGTCTATCTAATGCAGTGTATCTACCTTGTCTTACTGACTCCTTTATTAGCAAGTATTGTCTTTTTTCGCGAGTCATCTCTGCTAATATGTTGAAAGTACAACAGTCTCAATTTAGTCATCTTAGCTTCCAGGGAAAGTTCAGGTTTGACTTGTTCTAGGAACTATTTACAGTATTTGTCTTTTTAGCAGTCCATTCTTCTCCATCACTGCATTTCAAATTAGTTGGATTTCTTCCTACCAGCTTTATTCACTATCCAGCTTTCACAACAATACATAGAAATGGGAAATCTGATGGCCTGACTTTAGTATTCAACATCAGAACATTGTCTAATTCTTTCATAGCTTCCCCTTCAAGTCCTAGTCTTTTTCTGATTTCTTGGCTGCTCGTCATAGAGCATCTCCATTCTTCTTTTAAATTTTCACCGATTTCTTGGATCTTGTGGATGAAGTCTCCTGTTTCTCCTTTGTCAAAACTGTCACATGCTATTTCTCTGCTTTGATTATTGTAGTAGTTCTCTTTCCTTCAACAGTTCCATTGGGGATTCTGTCACTATTTCTATCTGTCATCCATTGAGACTTCCCTTTCTTTTTGACTACAGATATTATTATTTTTGCATTCCTTCCTCACAGGGCCCTTCCTCACAGCCATATAACCCAGTATATCAAGGCATATAATCCACAATATCTGCTTTGAACTGGATTATCTGAGTCCATACTGCCATATAATCCAGTTGAATGTGGATTTTATACAGCTGTGTGAAAGGGGCCATAATGTCCCTGGCTTCAGTCCAGAGTTATTTCATTCCTGGTCAATTGGCTTCATAGTGAAAATCTATTTTTAATACTATGTTTAACTTCTACAGGGATGTTTTTCAGGTTGTATTTTGGTCCAATGGTTGGTTTAATGTTCAGTTTTTTAACCTATGCCCCCTTCCACACAGCTGTATA